AGTCTTCAATCGTTTTTTTTCCTCTTAAATATTTCACCCGCGCTCTTCTATGAACGCCTGGAACAGCCTAATATTTTCTTCTCTAGATCAAAAAATGTGCCGTTTATACATTTTTAGATAACCATAACTGTCTTGTGAAAGTTAAGTAGAAGATTAGCTAAGATTGCCAATATGTTCGCTTTTTTATGAAAGTCACCTCAATTCTGTCACTGGACTTTCCGTCTTCGGCGGCTAATTTTTAATAGGCCCAGGCAGAAAATCGAAAATCTTAAATAATTTCCAAACTTGGTCGCATTTTGAAATTTAAACCACAGCAGCGTTATACTCATTAATAGTGAAAATGAGGGTAGGGAAGTGAAAATGAGGGTAGGCTAGGTTTTGAGCTGTGCGTGGCCACGGTTTGCTCGATCTTCTCTTCATTCGTCTCAGCATCCTTCTCTGCTCAAACAACGTTTAGAGAGTGTAACCAATCGAAAGATCGGTAATCGAACTCCAATCGTTCGATTGACTTCGATTGCGTTCGGTTACACACACACTCAGATTATTATTATTAAGAATCTACATTTACATAAAGTCCATTTCCTCGCGCAAATAGCAGGTGCTAGTCGAGGCGGGCGGAGATAATAGGTACAGCAGTCAGTAATAAATTACAAATAAATAGATAAACAAATAAATTAATAACATTTACAAAATCAACTACTTGAAACTCGTAAAATTAACTGCGACACTAAATTAAGATATGTGTACTTTATAAATTAAACTCTGTATTTGCTCGACAGTTATGTATTTTTTGAAGCAGAATGGGCGATTCAACATAATCGTCCTCGGCCTCTAATAACGAAAATAACATGTCATTGATATGTTTTTTGGAAGCTCTCTTGGGGAGTTGACGAAGTTCATCGCAAATGGAGTTCCAAAGCTTAGCTCCGAACTTAGCAAAGGAACCATGGTTTTGATTCAGTCTCGATCGGTTAATATAAAAATTGCAGGAGGAGGAGAACCTGGTCTCGTGATTATGCTTTTCATTTGCTTTAATGGAAAGATTACTAATGTTAGTGGGAACAGTTAGACATGAGACGTCGAACATTATTGAGGAAACTGTTTCAACGTATAACATATTTAAAGGAAGGATTTTTGAGGAGGTAAATAAAGGCACCGCGTGTGCTCTGGGTTCAGAAAAAATACATCAACCGAAGGACACGTTTTTGTAGCACGAGGATTTTTTGTAAATGGGATTTAGCAGCTTGACCCCAAGCAGCCAAGCCATAGGATAGGTAGGGTAGTATCAACGAGCGATAAATACTTAATAGAGTGGTAAAAGGGACGAGGTGCCGAAGATGGGCAATAACTCCAATAATTCTACTTATTTAGTGCTACATTGTCAATGTGGTATTTCCAGCTCAAATGACTATCCAGTAAGAAACCTAGATATTTTACATGATCATTACACTCAAGGGAAGTAAGAATGTGCTAACTATTATCAAACATTAGAATATTGACCGAATGGTCCATCTTACGTTGGTGAAGACGAAAGATAACAAAGTTTTATTTTTTAGCATTTAATGTTGGCTTATTTGCATTGAGCCAATCCGAGACTGTGACCAGTTCATTTTTGACCGTTTTTTCAAGAGATTTAAGATTTTTGTCGGCATACGACAAATTTGTGTCATCTGCAAAAAGGTAAAACGAAAATTTCGCTGGAGAGTTATGAAAATCATTAATATAAATTAGGAAAAACAAAGGACCAAGAACAGAACCTTGTGGGACACCACATGACATCTAATTAATGGTTGATAAATTAGAATCTATTTCAGTCACTTGTGAACGGCCAAGAAGGTACGAAGAAAACCAGTCGTTAATTGTGCCCCTGATACCATAGTGATCAAGTTTTTTTAGTAAGCTTGAATGATTGACGGTATCAAAGGCCTTTTTCTTAAATCAAAGAAGATGCCACAAGTAAATAATTTTAGGTCCATATTGTTTTCTGTGATATTGACAATGTCAATAACAGCGTGTTGTGTAGTATGCTTTTCACGAAAGCCATACTGTGATTTAAATAGGATATCGTTTTTATCAAGAAAGTTTTTTAGTTGTCAGTACATCAATTTTTTAAATATTCTATTAAAAATAGATAATAACGAAATAGGCCGATAATTTCCGGGTTCAGTTTCATCGTCACTTTTGTAGACAGGACACCTTTCGCTTGCTTTAATTTGGATGTAAAGACACCTTCTTGCACAGAGATGTTAAAAATGTTGGATAGAGGGCCAGAAATAATTTGTTTAGCACCGGACAAAATATGGATCGGACAAGAGTAAAGACCGTAAGTTTTATTTCTAGGAATAGATAGTATTTCACGTTCAATGTCTACTGGAGAGACTGCATCAAAAAAGAAGGAGTTAGGATACTTATTGGGTGACAAATAGTAAAACTGCAAGAAGAAGGTGGTACGCGCGAATATTTTTTCACCAACGGTAGCCTGAGTATCTGGCCTTCCTAAGGGGCTAGGGAGATTTTAGATGGGGGAGGGTTGGTAGGGGGGGGGGAAGAAAAAGGAAGGGCGTTTCTCTCCTTCAGCTCTCTTCCTTTTTCGCTTCCATCTTTCCCCTTTTCCCTCAGAAACGCCTGATACTCAGGCTACACCAACGGAAGAGAAGTAATTGTTGAAAATATTAGAAATCTCAAGGGGATCAGTTGTTATGCCGTTGTTAAGGCGCTTTAGCGAAGAAATAGCCCGAGATTTTTTCTTTTTGCCGTTGATAAGGCTATTTATGCCATTCCAGGTGTTCTTCATGTTATTCAAATTGTCAGCAAAGAATGCGTGATAATAATTCTTTTTACTCGCCCTAGTAAGAGCGGAAATTTTATTTCTACAGAGTTTATATTGTGCGAAATTCCCTGAATGAAAAAGAGAATTTTTCACTCTGATAGATTTTTTGAGGCCAATGGTTATCCACGGCTCAGAAAACTGCTTTAGCTTGCGTTTTGAGAGAGTTTTCATAGGAGCGTGTTTCTCGACAAGAACAGACAGTGTGTTATAGAAATTAGAAAAAGCAATGTCGACGACGAACTGGTCATCAAAATTGTTTTGGTTTAAGAGTTCCTCCGAAAGTTCAGAGTTAAAACTATTAACGGAGAAACCAGAAAAATCTCTGCGCTTTTGTTTTTTCGACTTCAGCTTCTTAAAGAAAGTGTGGAAGACACAAAACTGTGAAAAATGGTCGCTGATATCAGAGACAATATTGCCCCTGGTGATATTAGCATCAACTTTGTTAGTCAAAATATTGTCGATTAAGGTGGCAGAGCTGTTATGCACACGAATTGGTTTATCAATAGTTGGTGTAAATGAAAAGCTTTGCAGAGAAAGTAAAAATTCCTGAGCATAATGGGAGCTTTCGGGGTGAAGGAGGTTTATGTTGAAGTCGCCCATAATATAAACTGATTTGTTTGAAGCTATTACTTTCTCAGGAGTTTCGTCAAAATATCCTTGGAAGCGTTGCGGAGAATTATGCTGTCTATATACAATACCACAAATGATGTTACATTTTTGTGAGGAATGGATTTCAATCCATAGCGCCTGGAAAGCCTCATTTGATGTTTTTTCAGTAACTTTATACTTCAGAGATTCATTCATAATGTACAAGCCAACACCTCCAGAGGCGAGAGGTGTCGGAGCGCATTCAACAATATATCGAAGTATGTTTGGATTAAAATCCAAGTTTTTTCCACTGATTATTTTGGTTTCAGAAACTCCTATATTGCTGAAATCAAAGTTCAATTCATCTCATAAATGGACCTGGAAGATTTCAAGGTTTCGCCTAAGGCTCCTGACATTATTATGTAGAACAGAGACACATGAATCACTAGCACGTCTAGGAAGTTCAGTTTTAAATTTGTTTAAGCTATGTGGAGAGTAGTAACGGCTCTGGATACGATTGTAATAAAGATTATCATTATCAAGATTAAGGGTTTTAGCTGCATTGAGCCTAAAAAGATCAAGATCGTAAATACTAGTAAGCTTTTCCAAATACTTTTTGGTCGGCAAATGAGAAGGTATGCAGTTATTAAATTGGCCATGAGCTAAGATAATATTTTGCCCAAAGTATGGACGCTCGCGAAGTAAAGAGTGAGTACTACGAGCGGTCTGATGGTTAATACTCTTAAATGAAACTAAGATTCATTAATAGTAGATTATACTTATCTAACTTTTAATGAATACGTATCCGATGCAAGATGTCGTAGTGTATTAGTGTCCGAGATTTTAATCACACGAGAGCTCTCATCCTTTCTTAGATAAATAGTGGAGTTTTTAGCCCAACAAAATTGATAATGATTCCGCTCTTTGAATTTTTTCGCGTCAAATAACAGGTTCTGCTTCTTGGGGGTAAGATGATCGAAGATTGTTGCTCCGCCAAGCTCGTTTTCAGCAGAAAAGTCGATACTTGTTGGGTTAACTTGGGAGGCACGTTGACGAATTTCCATAACTTTCCCTTTCGCCAAACGCCTGCCAAATTTACATACCACAGGTTTTGGACCTTTGCTTTCGTTCCTTTTTGATACACGATGCGCTATATCGATGTCAAGAATAGATACTTCAGCTCCCATTTCCTGGAAGAGTTTTACACAGAGAGAACTTGATTCCTGGGCGGTTTCACTTCAGTGTATTCAACTCCGGAAGACCAATTATTTTTACGTTGAGCTGGTAACTGTACTCCTCGGCATCATGGCGTTAGCAACACGTTCCACTTGTGCAGTGAGTACATTAAGGCAGTGAAATATTTGCTTAAGCTGTACCGAGATACTAGAGTCAGAAGCTGACAAGTCATCATACTCGTCGTTCAAGTATCGCAAACTCCGAGCAGTTTCGACGTTCGAGGCATTAGCGACTGCAGTGATTCTGTTTTCATTAACAGCCTCCATGGCGGCAAACGATTCTTTCAAGGACTTAACTTCTTTGCACAGAGCGTCAACCTGCTGTTTAAGTAATTGGTTTTGTTGCTTAAGAGAAGCAATCGTCTCTTTAGGCATATTAATTAAGAGTATCAAGGTAAAATAGTTCAGAAATTAGGTGGCAAAAACGTCCAAAGGGTCAAAAGAGACAGAGCTCAAAACTTCGCGTCCATCTTGTCTCCTGACCGCTGACTGCGGTAATCGAACTTAATCAAACTCACCCCAAAATTTCGACAATCGAACATAATCGAACATTTGAAAATCGAACACTGCAACAATCGAACATAAAACCAGTTTCATCTGGTTTCAAACAAGGTATTGCGTTCAAATAATTTAAGTTGTGTGTATTGGCTTCAATTTCAAACACGAGTACAGGGTGGAAAACGTGAAATTAGCAATTTTGGAAGAGATGGTTAAAGGCTCAAGTTATGAGTGCTCTTTCGCCGTCAATGTCGGTGAAAAAAGTATTGGTCCTTTTTTAATTATCGAAACTTTATCTTTCAATCTTTAATCTCTTTTTTATTTCACACCATGTAAGGCATTTACACAAGTGTACATAAGCAGGAGAACAAAGTAGCTGATAAATAATCATTAAGCTAAAAGACATTAAGTTCATTTGTGTTCAGTGTGTGATGGTATCCTAAGAATACCCCGGTCGGTATTGTCACGGGAAAACATTTCACATGGTTTTACTGTGCCGTCAGCTGTGCCGTTCATGTTCCCCAGTATTAACTGTGAATTTATCAAATTTGAATCACTTAAACAATGAAGATTTGTTTGAAACTGCTTCACATACATACTATAGAGATGTTTCCAATTCAAATGGAACTGGATGCAGAGGATGCGTTTTGTCTTTCTGCCGAATAAAATCGAACTAACTGCGTCGATTGAATTCGGTAATAAATCGAATTCACTGAAAAGGTCCAGTTGGATTACGTTCAATTACCGAACCAATCGAACAACAATCCGACCGACTGCGGGTTCGATTGAGTTCGATTGATTTTTGGTTCGGTTTCGTTCGATTAGCTATCCCTGGCTAAAAAGAGTTTTACTTTGCCCTTCGCAAACGTAAACGTTTTTGTCATCTCATCAAAGATACAAGATGAGGATATATCTTTTTAGGACAGAACGATTTAGGTAAGATTTTTATCTCGCTCAATAGCTGGAGAAATCGGGCTTAAGAAAAAAAAACTCGTTACGCTGTTTCTCGTTACGCCGTTACTCAGTTAATTTTTATGCGATTTGGCGAGTGGCAGATTAGTGATATTGGTAATAAATATTTTGGATGCGTTACGTGGATTCTATTTGGTATTACTGTGCTGTACATTCCCAGTACTGAGTTTTGGACGATTTAATGAGAGTACAATAAGTTTTATTTGGCTGTAAGGAACATATAGTAAGAACTGGCACAGATGCATGGCTGGTGTGTGGCCTTCTGTGCGAGAGGTTCCAAGTTCGATTCACATGTTTGACCTCAAATTCTTGCAGCGACTTTTTTCCTTTCACCAAAAAGCTTTAATTACGTATATAAATTCGCGTAAAACGGAGCACTGATGAAGAACGGAGGGTAATAGATAAACACACCGTCAGCCTCACCAGTTAGTTAGATGATCACTATTTCTAACTGCGAACGTAAAATGCGGAAGTTCACTTTTTAGCTTGGTTTCTGTTGCTGTAGATTCGTGATATTAGTACTGGTTATATGGGATGCCATGGCATGGATTTTTATAGTAAATTACCGCTTTTTGTAAATTTGAGTAAGTTTGTATCTCAACAGAGTTGATTTCTAATAGTAATTTTACTAAATACGTGAAAAAGGAATAAGACTACTACTCGCCATTATGCACTACTGACATTCCATTGTTTACTTGTCGCTAGATTAGCGAGGTCTTGGGCTCCTGACATTAGATAATTATATTTGTTTCAAGAGTTAAGTAAAATTCGCAAGGTATTTCTAAGAGGAGTAACTGTACTGAGAATTTCTCCACAAATTCTACACTCTCGGCAGAAAGTGACAGAAGAAGAGGATATTGTGAAATTTCTAAATGGGTTAGAGGGTCGGAAGGGGGGGGGGGGGGGGGGGGGGGGGGGGGGGTTAAAAAAGGGTTGGAAAAGGCCCCACTTAAAACTTTTTTTATTTTTTCCCTTTTTAGAAGGGGTTTAAAGATAAAAAAACTGTGTTTTTTTTTTTTTACCCCCCGTTTTAAAAAAATTTTTTTGTTACTGTTCTTTTTTTGGTGTTTGGGGCACCAAAAGGT